TGTGTGCGCGCACCCACATGTATACACATACACATATATATGTGTTTACCATTGTTCTTCATGAATTCTTATGAAAATGGCTACAAAAGTATGATGAGACTTAACAAATGCTATTCTTTTATTGCGGGGGGTGTACTAGAGATTGAACCCAGGGGCATTTAACCCCTGGGTTACATCCCCCTCCCTTTTTTTATTTTTTACTTAGAGACAGGGTCTTGCTGAGTTGCTTAGGGTCTCCATAATTTGCTGAGGCTGGCTCAGCCTCCTGAGCTGCTGGGATTACAAGCATATGCCATGGTGCCCAGCCTATTCTTGGTATTCTTGACTCAGTCTTGCACCATTCATGTGACTGAAGAGAGAGTGAAGTGGTCTTATAAAGCAACACTATTTACATTGTACCTAATTACAAGATCACAGGATATCCTTATGCAACCAAGCATTGAATGACTGAAACTGCTCAGATCAGGGAAATGGAAATTTCATCATCTACTGGAGAAACGAGGTGGAACACAGAAACCAGGACTGGGAATCCTGTGCAGGACTAAACCAGGAAAAAAGAAGCAGGAAGTAGAACCCTTTCTACACGCCCCAACATGAGAGATTGCTGAGCCAGATCACCACCTTCTTTTCTCTTTTTCACATGCTCCAGGCACAACTATAGAGAGACCAGGGTGGCACAAAAGAGGAGCCCTATCTACCATCCCTGGACAAGCTCCACTAGCCCCGAAGTCTGGGATTTTCCAAGGGTAATGGCAGAAGGGAGAATGGGGAAAAAGAAGCACCAACTGAGACAGGATGCCCTGTGAGAGCTTCAGGCTGTCATACAAGTGCCTCTGTGTAACAGTGTCACACAAACCCTCGGCAATCTGTGTGATGTACAACACCGGCTCCTTCCAGAGTAAGAGCCAGGCCACAGCAACTTGAGTGCCAGGGTATCACAGGAAGAGAGGGTTAAACATCAGCAGGGATAAATAACACCATGGAGGATTTTAAACTTACCTTTATCACATGTTCTCCAAAGGAAAATTTGGAAAATATTCTAGTAAAAAAAAAAAAAAGTCCATCTGGTAAAATGATTGAAATCATTTAGAGAAAAAAAATCTAGTTTCATAGGGCTAGGGCTGTGGCTCAGAGGTAGAGTGCTTGCCTATCATGAGTGAGGCACTGGGTTTGATCCTCAGCACCACATAAAAATAACATGAAGATATTGTGTCTACCTATAACTAAAAAATAAATATTTTTTAAAAATCTAGTTTCATTAAAAATAACTTTCATTTTGTTCCCAAAACAATGCACAGATAAATAATTCAGGCTAAATTTTGCTTGTTGTCAACATCCCCCATGTCCCAAATATCCTTTACCCTTTTTTTCTCCTGCAGATATTGATACCATGCAAATTCTTGAAGAGGAACCATTATAGGATCTTCAAATTTGGATGGATAATTCATCTTCAGACTCTAGGTTTCAAAATACAATAATTAGTTTAAAGTGAGTTCTCTTTTAAAGTCAAAATCATTTCCCCAAATATTTATGGAGTCTCCAGGAAGTTTTATGCAGCCCATACCTAGGCCACAGTCTGACTGAGATGCGCTGTTCTGCTCTCTTCCCACACTAGGACACGAGCTTATTTGTCTCTGACTTCTAGAATATAAGCTCCTGAGGGCAAGAACTATGTCTGTAAGCCCATCTACTATCGAATCTGGCTCATGGTATGTCAATCACTCTTGACAACTGAATAAACAAATGAGTTTATGCCAATAGTTTTATGATCTGCTTCTTTCAGGACTAATTTTTCCTTAAATTAAACTCTTGCTAAATCTCAGTGGTTCTAGATAGTTTACTTGAAGGAAAATAAGTAAATATTACTGCTATAATTCATTGATGTAAGGAGATCACAAGGATACTATGGTTATATACCTTAGGAAAAAGAGAAGTAAATACTAAATAAATCTAGGTGTAGAATTTAGGTATAATATTGAGTATTTTTTGGTTGAACATACAATTTTTTGTATGAATCACAGAAAAAATTTATTTATTTATTTGGATGGAATTGGAGATCATCCTCAGAACCTTATATACATTAGGCTATAGAAAATTCTTACAGGTATTGACACCAAATGGTACAGACCAATGGTACAGAACAGAGGACACAGAGACTAACCCACAAAATTATAATTACCTTATATTAGACAAAGGTGCCAAAAACATACATTGGAGAAAAGATATCCTCTTCAACAAATGGTGCTGGGAAAACTAGAAATCCATATGCAACAAAATGAAATTAAACCTCTATCTCTCACCATGCACAAAACTCAAAATGGATCAAGGATTTAGGAATAAAACTAGAAGAAAAAGTAGGCCCTAATCTCCATCATGTGGGATTAGGCCCCAACTTCCTTAATAAGATTCCTTTGGCACAAGAATTAAAATCAAGAATCAATAAATGGGATGGACTCAAACTAAAAACCTTCTTCTCAGCAAAAGAAACAATCTATGAGGTGAAT